GCCTTGCTTTGACTCATTTATGCATGTTTGAGAAATCCTGTAGTGTCCTGAGACAGCCAGGCAGGGGAGCAAAAACCACCAGTTAGGTCTAGAAACGCCTTTTGGGACTAGCTCCGCCTCTGGGCTGTGTCTCCAAGCTGGAGAAGGGGTTATCTGCAGAATCAAAGTGGGTGTGTCACAAGAGTGGGCGTGTCAAAAGCATAAACACTGTGGGCTACGAGGCCTACATGACGGTATCCTTAGACCCTGGTTGATCTCTTTACAGCCKGACCCTGACCCCAACACTAAGGTTAACCAGGAGAAATGTGACCCAAGTAGTGTTCTCCAGAAAAAAGTGGTGCCGTACAGTAACGCCCCTTTTGTTCTTGTCCAATGAGGTGGTGCCGTACAGTATYGCCCCTTTTTTGCTTGTCCAGTCAGGTGTGTCCCTTTAACAAAGTCCGTCAAATCAGGTGTGTCGCTTTAGAATCGCCTTTCGTTGTGACACGCCCACTCGTCCGCAGAGACCCCTACTTGCCAAGCTGAGCTTCCTCATCAAAGAGCACACACACCAATGAGGTATATACAATATACCTCACTAGATATGTTTACATGCACAAAATCTTTTGATCGGATTGAATGTATTCAGATTAAATAATCCGAATGTACTGTTTACATGGACACAATCCGATCATGATGTGTTTACATGCACGAAGAAAAGTCCGGACATGCGCAGTGTTGTAAACGTTCAGCTCTACTTCCGTGTTACAAATGTAAACAAAGCTCCTCTGTACGCTCAGGACGGACCCGTGTCAGCTTTTAATAACGGTTGAGACGTCATTACTCCTCGGTTTAGCTAAAGATGAAGCAATACATTTTTTGTTTGGCGAAGCAACGTCTGCTGTTTGCCTCCTTTTTTATCTGTTAAGAGAGCGTGGAGGAAAATTTCTGCGCGGTGCAGCGCAGCTGAGCTGCTGCCCCACCTCCTCGGGATGAAAGTCAGAAGACTCAGGTCAGTTTTCCACAATCAGAATAAGATGATCCGATTAAGTGTTTACATGAACGTCATTCCGAACATCATTCCGATTATCAATCGACATAACCCACCCTTCTCATTCGGATTAAAAATTCATTCGGATCTAGCTCAATCGGATCAGAATAATCCGAAAGAGCTGTTTACATGACACATTTTTATTCCGAACGGTCATTTAATCCGATTACTTATGTCCATGTAAACGTAGCTACTGACACACACACCCGGCCCCAAGCTGAAATGGGCAGGACAGAAATGGAAGCAGGTTCTTAAAGAGACAGAGGCCAATTTCAAGGTGTTTAGAAACAGATATGAGAAGTCAAGTTTATTTACTATTTAAACAATAAACAGCATTTTAATAACAACTTAAGGTGACATATATGCTTTATTATGATAGAGAATTTAAATATATGCCTGAGAAACACATAATATTGCCCCTATAATGTTCAAATGGATAAACTTATTGGTTCTTTGTAAATCTTCACTCATTTTGAGATTTAATGCCTGCAACACATTCTAAAAAAAAACTTGGATAGGGTCAACAACAGACTGGGCGAGTTGAGGAACGCTCCAAAAAAAACACCTGTTTGGAGAATTTTACAGGTGAACAGGTTAATTGGGAACAGGTGCGTCATCATTGGGTATAAAGGAAGCATCCCTGAAAGTTTCTTTGCACTGTATTCAGTTGAGTATAGTTCAAAAAGTATTTGCAAATCATTGTGTTCTTTTGTTTTACACAACGTCTCAGCTTGGTTGGAATTGGGGTTGTATATATTTTTATATGAAAACTATTTTCTGAAGAACTAAAATACAGCTCGTTGTGGAAATCACTACTTGACCGACCTGAAGAGAGTTTTGAGCTCGGACTTGTCCAGCGGCTGAGCTGAGAACACCTTGTAGACTCCGGCCTCCTGCGGCTGCCTGCGCCGGAACCCGGCCGAGATGTTGACGGGACAGGCGCTGGCCACGCTGTTGAAGAACAGGGCGGGCGTGTCGGTTGTAAGGACGCTGGCGAAGGGGAACAGGCGGGGGTCCGCAAACCCAAAGAAAGAGGTGTTGAGGTAGCCATGAACGATGGTGGCCACGGTGCTGTGGTAGCTGCCGGGCAGGTGGTCGAAGGGGGGCGTGAAATCGTGGAACTCCAGCCCAGAACCGAGGCTGTCCTGGAGCGGGGTTGCCAACACTACGATGTCGTACAGCTCTGATCCTGTTCCTGCTGCTGTGGTGAAGTTCAGCTGGTACTGGAGCGCCTCACCTGCAGCACGAAAACATCAAGATCTACTGCAGCACTAAAGTGATAAAAAAAAATGCTTGTGTGGTGCCACATGTCCCCAGCCTCATGGGGTTCATGTCTGCAGTGATTTGCAACGAGATGCACACATCACATCAGGACCGTCTGAGTTCAGAGGATACAGTTGGATGTCATGTAGGCATCCGGACTACAACAAAACAGCAGTAAACAGTACATGGCTGAAATGAACTCTCCTCCATTACTTAACATATTTAAAGGCCTAGTGTTTCTTGAAGAAATGCGTATCTGCAGCCGTCCATCATGCTAGAGATTCAAACTAAAATCTTTCTTACACCGAACAGGGACAGAGCTATTATGGTCAAACATTGTAAATTATGTTATTCACTCACGATATCCTAAATATTGAATATGTCGAGCACAAGCCTCAGCTACTACCACCAAGTTTGAGCTGGATATCTGTAAAAAWTACCTGGTTTAGATTTGTTTTTGTTAGCCTGGCCCGTGCCTTCCTACGCAGTTCCACTCAAATCTAGTTTCCCTTCACTGCTCCGTCTGGGATTTCTCCGGGAGAATTTCAGTCGGGCCAATCAGAACAGGAGGAGGGGTTTTGAACGACAACATCGATTTTCTGTACTTTTGTGGAAATTTTGTGGCTTTATCCTCTCTATAYGTGTTTTAAAATGCTAGAATTTCTTCATTATATTTCAAACTCCTGCTCAGTTGTCTCTGCACTCGCAGCCCTGTTGACACAGGTGAGATGACGTAATGACGATAGGACGGTAGAGTATAAATTTCTACCGTCTACCACATATACTGCGCAGCCCTAACCTGCAGCTCTCATTTACAGCCGTCTCATCCGGCTCGGTTCTTCTCTCCTCTCAGTAGGGTTGTTTACAGTGCACGCACACAATTTCCGGTTAGCTTCCTAGCTTAGCCTCCTTCACAGTGGAGCTGGCACACTTACGTCGCAGTTAACTGATCCAATCATTGTAAACTTCAACAGAGGCCACGCCTCCAGGAAGCAATCGCTTCTCGTTGAGAGTCCAGACCCTCGTACGAAGCAAAGCGAAGAACAAGGGTCTGGTTTTTAACCAGGCTAC